ACCCTGAAACAACCTCTGGGCTGATCTAAGTCAGGGCATGGCTAACTCGCAGATAGAACCCTGAAACAACCTCTGGGCTGATCTAAGTCAGGGCACGGCTAACTCACAGATAGAACCCTAAAACAACCTCTGGGCTGATCTAATTAAGTCATGGCATGGCTGACCAGTGTTCTTACCAGGCCGCGCCATTGCGGGATTCGCGCATAAAAATCAGAAATGACGCACAAATGTCAACTCTATGCACCCCCAAGGGCGCGTGAATTATCCAAAGAATACTCCCTGATAGTTTTAAAAGATTTAGAGTACTTTTGAAATAATAAAAGTCGCATTATATTGTCAATAAACAAGGTGAAAGTCCACATGAAACGACACGAATCGAACATATCCGCCATCTTGTATTTCACTCGCCAAGAGGTCTGGGATTAGTCTGTGTTAACTGACCTTGTTTATTGAAGGCTCAAGTATGGCTGCCAAGCGAAAGTTTATTGTGTTGTCATTACTAATAAAAAACTGTCTTACATTTGTTGTAGATTTTCAACAGAGTTACTGGCTAAAAACATTATTATTCTTTGTTTTAAGATATTGGGAATGGCCCATCCAGTTTTCTAAATGGCCCCTAACTTTCGGATTGGTGGGCCCTTTGACCCCCTAAAAGAAATTCCTGGTAAGAACACTGAGGCTAACTCACAGATCGAGCCCTGAAACAATCTCCTGGCTGATCTAAGTCAGGGCGTGGCCAATTTGCATATGAATTTGAATTCATCCTTTTGGGATTTGTGGAGAGAGGAAAACCAGACAAAAACCCTCGAATCAAGTAAAGGACTTGACGAACTCAGTCTTTTCACATTTGATGCGCCTGGCGAGAGGCGAGTACGCTACTGGTATTTATTTTTTAACTTTAATTCTTACTCTAGGTGAAGATCGTTGGTTATGTACTCTAATGGTCCAGTCAGGGTGGCGCCTTGAATACTGCGCAGCCGCAGAAGACAGTACCTATTGCCCAGAGGCGTTTGACGAATTCTTCAAACAGAGACGTCGATGGATTCCATCCACATTAGCCAATCTCATTCAATTAATCGGAGAATGGAAAGTCACAACAGAAAACAATGATAAAATATCTTTGCTTTTTATTATTTATCAAGGGCTGATGGTCTTTTCTACCCTGATTTCGTAAGTATGCAAGAAAACTTCAATTTCAAGTCTTTAAGTCAAGATGATGATATATTCTGCTCTCGACCTCCCCCTTCTCCTTTACTTGCCTCCTCGCTCCCTTGCCTCCTTGCATCCTTGCATCCTTGACCCTTGCCTCCTTGACCCTTGCCTCCTTGACCCTTTACTTTCTTGCCTCCTTGCCTCCTTGTATCCTTGACCCCTTGCCTCCTTGACCCCTTGCCTCCTTGACCCCTTGCCTCCTTGACCCCTTGCCTCCTTGACCCCTTGCCTCCTTGACCCCTTGCCTCCTTGACCCTTTACTTCCTTGCCTCCTTGTATCCTTGACCCCTTGCCTCCTTGACCCCTTGCCTCCTTGACCCTTGCCTCCTTGACCCTTTACTTCCTTGCCTCCCTCACCAAACTTACATTGGTCACATCAAATCCATCAAATCTTTTTTTCAGTCCTGCTACTGTCATCCTTGTCATTACTGGGGCATTACACTACGCCAGCCCTGGAATAAATCAGGATGCGATCCTAATCCTCCTGGTTCTCGTGACAATTGGTTTCGCGTTCGTTTGTCTGTACACGAAACAGGACTTCCAGCTTAAAGTTGCCAAACTACTGACCATCGTGTTTGCTCTAGTTATGGCGTTTGTTACTGTTGGGATGGCAGCACAAATTGGTGAAGATCTTTCTTTGAGATCTAAATGTGGTACGTTCAAAAACTTTATGACGTCGGCAATAACACAATTATCGTTTAACTCAATGAGACTCAAATGTGTTAATATCGCCCTTCCCATCATTAAAAAATGTTTGAGGGCGATGGCGATGGTAATGATGATGGTGATGGTAATGATGATTGTAATGATGATGGTGATGGTGATGATGAAAATGATAATGTTGAAGATGGTGGGGACGATGATGGTGATGGTAATGATGATGGCGATGGTAATGATGATGGCGATGGTAATGATGATGGTGATGGTAATGATGATGGTGATGGTAATGATGATTGTAATGATGATGGTGATGGTAATGATGATGGTGATGATGAAAATGATAATGTTGAAGATGGTGGGGACGATGATGGTGATGGTAATGATGATGGCGATGGTAATGGTGATGGTAATGATGATGGTGATGGTAATGATGATGGTGATGGTAATGATGATGGTGATGATGATGGTGATGGTCATGATGATGGTGATGGTCATGATGATGGTGATGGTCATGATGATGGTGATGGTAATGATGATGGTGATGGTAATGATGATGGTGATGGTAATGATGATGGTGATGGTAATGATGATGGTGATGGTAATGGTGATGGTGATGATGATGGTGATGGTAATGATGATGGTGATGGTAATGATGATGGTGATGGTAATGATGATGGTGATGATGATGGTGATGGTGATGATGATGGTGATGGTCATGATGATGGTGATGGTAATGATGATGGCGATGGTAATGATGATGGTGATGATGATTGTAATGATGATGGTGATGATGAAAATGATAATGTTGAAGATGGTGGGGACGATGATGGTGATGAAGATGATGTTGATGATAGTAATGATGATAGTGGTGATGATAATGATGATGCTCGTTAAAATGAAAATTACATTGATATGGTGATGATGATGTTGATTGGTAACATGAGGATGATAAATGAATATAATGAGAAAAGCAATGATGATGGTGATTTACATTAATATGCTCTATTTATTAACTATTATTATTATTTTCTTTACCTAGACAAACTTAATACAGCATCACATTCATCTACATCCCATAACTACTCCACACCATCCCCCACCCCTACGGGTTTAAAATGTCCAGACGATCACCTTCCAGCGGATGTGAGCTCGCTATACTTAGCAGGACTTGTGGGAATCTTCTTGATTGCAGCACTCATGCATCCGTTTGAAGCGTATTGCCTTGTTCATGGAGTATGGTACCTATTCTGCTTGCCATCGGGCTATTTACTGCTGATTATCTATTCCGTGTGTAACCTTACAGACAGGTCATGGGGTATGTAAAAACTCTCCGTAAAAATCAAATTAGAAAAAACAAATAGACACCAGTTTTTTGTGTCAGTCCTCTTATTGACGATAAATTGTGTCATCACATTGTCAAAGTAGTATGCGGAGTAGTATCCACACTTCTTTGACAATGTTATGACACAATTTATCGTCAATAAGAGGACAGACACAAAAAACTGATGTCTATTTGTTTTTTACAATAGCAAAAACGATAAAAACTTCTCATTTTTAGTGATCAAAACAACCAACGGAAAGAGCATGCGCTCGTTGACGATAGCTTTATTGGTCTGTCCTCTTATTGATGATAAAAAGTAACCAATCAGCGCGCGAGAGAAATTTGTAAGTTATTGTAAAAATACGAGTTTAGTGTTGTATGTTGTAAATATAGAATGTAGTGGTAGTGCATGTGGATTGAAACTCACGGAAGAGCCCCGTACGGGTGCATGGTTTTAAAGTATGTTTGTACGCTTCACCATTGTCGATTTCTCGTTTGTAGTCTCTTTTTTCTCGAATGTCTTTCTCAGAGTTTCTTTTCCCCGCGTTTCACCATTTTCAAAAGCCGCTGTACGCACTAACAGTTTAGATTTTAATTCATGGACTTAGTGTTTGCGCTCTACTTATATTTAGATCTTATTAACCGAGCGTGAGGTCTGTACGAGATAATCTTGACCGAGGTCGGAATGTACAGACCGAGTGCAGTGAGGTCTGTACCCGACCGAGGTCAAGATTATCCCGTACAGACCGACCAAGCTCGGTTGATAAGAGTTTTATTATATGACCACTTTTCATTGAAAAGGACAAAATGCTTTCGCCGTAAGATTAATATGAGATCGGACCGGTTAATACCGGAGAATCTAGACCAGTCCGCGATGCGATCTATCCAATCAGATTGCTCGATTTGCTAGTGTCCAGGCTCTAAGATTCACAGTCATATAATAATTAACGAATATGAAACGCGCGCGCCTGTCTCTGTAATGTGATGTAAAGACGCTGGGAGCTGTAGAGCACGAGAGAAGTAAGCATAGGAACACGAGGCTTAGAAGAGTGTTTCTCTCGCTTTTAGAGCACTCTACAGCTCCCAGAGTGTTTATATCACAGCACATAGACAGAAGCAGCCGTTTTATAAAACCGTTTCAGGCTTCGATCTGTGAGTTAGCCGTGCCCTGACTTAGATCAGCACAGAGGTTGTTTCAGGGTT